ATTGTTCCGGGGAATGGTCGGGTGGACATTTTGGACATGAGCCAGGAGTGCACCTTGAGTGCCCCATCCGCTAGCCCCGGCCCAACCTACCGTCTGGCTGGGCTGCCTCTTGCACCTCCTCCCAGCTCCCGCTGCCTCCCTCGCACTTGCCCTGGCTGCGCCCTGGAGCTGGGGGCCTGCGGGCCCGGCAGAGGCGGGAGGGCTACCCCCCCCAGGGGAGGCCTGGGGACAGCGGTCCCCGCGCTGCTCGGGGCCCTGCCACCCAGGCGGCGCTCGGCAGGGCATCAGGGTGATGACTTCCTTCGCTGGGTCGCCTGTTTTTCTGGGAGCAAAGTGCCTCCTCCCCAGGGTTCCCTGAGCCCCGAAGCGCTCCTGCCCCTGCTCCCGGGCTATTTAAGGGGCTGGCAGCTCCCCCCTGAGCATCCTCTGGATGGAGCACAAATACAGCCGCCGGAGCAAGTGTTTTCAGTCAAACCAATTCCTCCCCTTGGCCCCCTCACCTCGCTTCCAAGCCTACTCATCTGGTTCTTTGGAAGAGAATCCCGCGTTTTTGTCCAATTGCGATGTTTCCCTTAAGCACTATCACAGTCCTCGCTCGCTGGAGGCCACACAGGCTGCGGGGCGCTCTGCCTGCCAGGAGGGGAGTCCAGCTATGGAGGAGCGAGCTCCGGGCGAGGGAAAAAGGCCCAAGACAGCAGGCACGACCCAAAGCAGTCACACTTCTGATCCCGGCTTCACAACGGGCAAGAAAGGGCTTAAGGCCTCCGCCAGCGCCTGTTCCCTTAGGGCTCAAGGCCCCGAGGGCCTCTGCTCGCCTGCCTTTACAGCTGGGGTGCCACCATCTCTCCCCCTCCCATAGTGAGGTCTCAGTCTAGCAGGTTCTGTCCAATTATCGCCCCCCAACACCGAGTTTCACCGGAAGCCCTGGTTTGCAGACCACAACAGGCTTGCCCACTGCAATCCAGATCGCACATGGCATTCCCCTCAAGGTTGGCCCATCCTTGGGCCAAACCCACCAATGTATTCGTCAGAAGCCCAGGAGAGCCCTGGCACACCGAGGCGGGCACAGAGCCAGCCTGCACAGGGGCACCTTCCAGGGCCACCCGTTCACACCATCTGGATTCCGTCTTTCCAAGTCAGCCTGAGCCTCCGGCTAATGAGAGAAGGGACCCAATAGTATTCCCACCAGCAAATGCACCAGCACCACCACCACCACCACCACCACCACCACCACCAGCTCTGCGGCACCTCCAGGCCAGGAACACAGCACAGACCTGCAAGCGCTGGACCAGCATGGCTCAGTGGCTGAGCATCGACCTAGGAACCAGGAGGTCATGGTTCGATTCTCAGTCAGGGCACATGCCTGGGTTGCAGGCTCTATCCTCAGTGTGGGGCGTGCAGGAGCAGCCAATCAATGATTCTCTCTCATCATTGATGTTTCTCTCTCACTCCCTCTCCCTTCCTCTCTAAAACAAACAAACAAAAAACCTCCAAGCAGCCCCTTTCAGTCCTGCCCTGGCCCAAGACTGAACCTTTGGCAACCAGACTTCTGGTCTCTACACCCCAGTTTCCTCATCTGTAAGGGGCTGGCTGATCATACAATTTGGGAGGGGCACGGGGCCACTCGAACTCCGCAGCATTCCTGCTAGGGGATTGATTGGCGTTCATCTGGACGGCAGAAACAATTCTTATGGCAGAAGCAAATAATTTGGGAAAGGTAATGCCAAGGGTTTTTTTTTTTCTCATGAGAAAAAGTGTGTGTGGCTGAATGTGGATATCATGAAAGTGGAGATTTGGTCTTTGCAGGGTGTAGAAGACTAACTATCAGAACTCTGGCCCCATCAGAGCAGCATGGGGTCATGTTGACCTAGAGCAGCGGTTCTCAACCTGTGGGCCGCGACCCCTTTGGGGGTCGAATGACCCTTTCACAGGGGTCGCCTAAGACCATCGGAAAACACATATTGAATATATAATTACATATTGTTTTTGTGATGAATCACTATACTTTAATTATGTTCAATTTGTAACCATGAAAATACATCCTGCCTATCAGATATTTACATGATTCATAACAGTAGCAACGTGACCGTTAAGAAGTAGCAACGAAAATGATTTTATGGTTGGGGATCACCACAACATGAGGAACTGTATGAAAGGGTCTCGGCATTAGGAAGGTTGAGAACCACTGACCTAGAGGAACCTGTCTCTACCGGCCAAACGGCCCGGCTTGTTGACAACTCCCCAACTCTTTGCAAAAGAGTAAGAAATT